ACACAGCAGCAAGCTGCACAGCCTTCAGGCAAAAAGGTGTTTGGAAGTGGACTGCAAGCCAAACAGCATCTGAATGAACTATTGCTGCTAACATATTATTAGTGCACAAACTGTTAGATTTCTGGAAGAAAGACTTTTTGCATCTTTTCCCACTGGTTGGGTAAGCTTGAAGTTTGCTCTGATAGAAGCAGGACTAGTAAATATTTCATAGTACTACAGCTGGAAAAGAGCTGTAACTGCTTTGACACCCAGCCAAAATGACATATTCTGATAATACGTGTTTCTAAACCAAACACAGCTAAGAAGAAAAGAAAAAGAGAGAAAAAAAATTTAAAAAGAGAGAGATCAGTGCCACAGAATGGTCTAGTCAAAAATTACTCTAAACTCCAGTCATCTCCACAATTTTAAAACCAACCTCCAATCCACACAAACTGACACCTCACCCTTCTTGAGATTTTGAACTAGTTTGTTAAATAGTGAATGTTCAGCCTCAAAATAAACTGGTATTTAGACACTAATTATCATGATTCTTACTTAATCTATTAATGCCTTCCCCATATTTGAGCAGAAAGTCTGCTTTTCCAATTCCTGGCCAGATACAACATTCTTTCCAGCCTGCAGCATCACAGCATACAATAAACCCAGATGATCTGTGAAACCTTGGTGCAGCATGCCATAAAATAAAAAGATATATTTTGTTCAAAACGATCATAAGACTCGCCTTCCCTTTGCATTAACTGAAGGATTGGTGTCAGCAGTAGCGAAGAGGTGCTGTTCACAGCAAGGTCATGACATACTGCACGTGTTATTATCATCTAACATAAACATTAACAAAGTGAAATACCTTGAGATATGTGGTGAAATATTTCACTGAAGGAGGAAAAACATTAACCGGTTATCCAAATTACATGGAAGAAAAGATATGAACAAGGACAGCATTTACAATTCAGTCCTGTGGAGATCTTCAGGTTGGCTTGTCGGTCTCTCTTGCGGAAGACTCTGACTTTTATACTCAGACATGCTCTAACCAACTTGACTAAGATACACGATTTTCATCCCTCTGCCCTTCTAGGAGAGGAATGTGAACAGGTGAAGGGAACTTCACAAGTTAACACTGGTATAGTTTTAAAACAAAAGGTACCATTGAAGTGCACTTTGACTTTACGTAGCTTTAATCCCTATGGGTGCTCTTTTTGCTTTAAAAGCCACTCTAAACATCTTTTTCTCCAGCGCACGTAGGCTTACTGTGGCAACAGACAGTTTTTGTATGATTTTTAGACCACAGTCCAACAATGCATTTTCTTTAGTAGTTCTACTGATGTATCTCCCCCACCTAGTCTCCTCCACGCAATCCAGCTGTCCTTCCCATGCCCACAGATATGCCAGCACAACTGGTACCAGGTCTCACACTGACCTGGGGTTCGATCAGCTCCTTTACCTGATCCCAAGTGCATCTACCGTGCTCCTTCTGTGACAGGCAGGACTCTGAGGGGAACACTTTAATGCCGCTAATTTATTGAAATTGGCAATGTTGAAAGAGCAATTAAAAAAAAAAAATCAAAAAATCTAGCACAGGAACCCTCCACATATTTCAGATATTTTTGCCCAAACTATACACATCAGACTGAGAGGCCAGAGGCCCCAAGCTGAAGCTCTAGGCAGATGCAGCTAACCCACCTACGGCAGAGGCTCCGCCACCACGCAGAAGTACACTGTTCGAGAAGGTATCGCAGCCCTCACCACAACGCGGTGTTGCTCCAGGTGGGGGAAAATACAAGACCAGCTCCTCTGTGAGTTTCTCCAACGAGGGCAGCGTTCCCTTGAAACCTCGCATGATCTAGCCCAGACGTTAACATGAAAGACAAGTTTCATTTAAAATCCCATCCAAGAGACGCAAGCTACGTACCATGTGATTTACTGTGTCTGCTTCTGAGGGGTGATATCCAGAAATGATTCTAAGACCTTAATCTGTCAATTACTTTGTTTCAGACTTGGTATTAAGACCATTATAGAATCATAGAATCATAGAATGTTGAGGGTTGGAAGGGACCACTAGTGGTCATCTAGTCCAACCCCCCTGCAGTGAGCAGGGACACTGCTAACTAGATCAGATTGCTCAGAGCCCCATCCAACCTGGCCTTGAATGTTTCCAGGGATGGGGCCTCCACTACCTCTCTGGGCAACCTGTTCCAGTGTTTTACCACCCTCATTGTAAACTATTTCTGATTACGAATTAAAAAAAAAGAGAACCAAACCAAATCCCTGCTCTCCTCAAAAAAATAAAACTTCACAACTAAGCCAGGCGCAGCTTACCTAGAGCCAACACCTACGTGACCAATGCTTTTCATAGTTAGCATACTAAGTTGTATCGACTATAAACACCAGCCATTCTGCTAAGACATCAGATGACAAATGACTTAAGCACAGTCAGTACGCTCAAATGCAGTGACAGAAGTGAAGATATTTTTCCCCCTTTTAACTCTCTTTAACCAGTATCTTCATTACAATGTTTGAATACTTGATATCCTTCCACCACCCTCTGAAAACCCCAAAATCAGTGCATTTGCAAAGGCCAATGCAATGCACACGCACCACGACAGAATACAGAACTCTATAATTTCCAAAGACATTTGCATGAGTAACTGAGAGGGTGATATTTCTGGACTAATATTCATTAGCAGTCAGGATTACGTCATCTTACAGCAGAGCTGAGCAGACTAGAAAGAGTTTCTGCAGAACTGCACAGTTTCTATTTCTCTCTTGATGCAGTTGAAGGACAGGGCAAGGAAAACAAAACATCAAGGCAAAAGATTAAAAATTCAGAGCATCTAAAAGACGATGATCTCCATTTTGAACAAAATACAGATTAGCCTTTTTACTGTTTGAATGGCAGTAATTGCCATAATCGCAGTTCTACAAATCTATCCATTCTATTTCTGTTCCCTCACGCTCTTTCTTCAAAAGAATTTCACATTTGAACTGAAGTTTCCTAGGAAGTAGGAGCTTTTTCTCTCTTTTTGTTGTCTTACACCTGTGCGTATACAGCAGTTTTAGAGTCCCAACTCCTAAACTTGTCCCCTTAAGAAGGCTAATAATACATTCACACTGGAGAAAGTGCATCCACAAATCTGGAAACAGATGTTGTCAAACTGGACTGTATTACCCAACGGGTTTAACGCATTTTATTGATTAAAAGAGACAGAGAAGTAAAGGTGTAAGGAAAAAAAAATATCCCTAATAATCATCCTCAATAAACAGGCATTTCCAGATCCTTGAAGGTTTTAAATTTGTTGCAGGAATTTCTTCTACAGCTTGTGTCAGGTATCTAGCATGACCACCATGCCTCAACAACCCATCTCATGCTGGAAAGCAGAGGACAGCATCACGCCCCACTCTTCATTGCTCCCAGCCACACACTCCTGCTGCCTACTTTGAGCTGGCTCTGGCACTTGTCTGACCCCTGCATTCAACTCGCTACAGACAGCGGAAAGACAAACTCAGCAGAAGAATATGCATCTGCCAGGTCAGACGCTTGACCTGGATTAGCATGCAATTAGATACTAGCACCAGTGCTATGGATGGGGTGGCAGCATACCAGTAGGGAGAGGGGGAAAAATCCTCCCCCTTTCAACAGTGATGTGCTGTGAAATCAATTCAAAGTGAAACTGTACGCTAGGACACTCACCAGCTGCTTGGTGTTTTAAAAGGGCATTAAGTGATAGAGGGAAGGTGCCTTCCAGAAAAGGGCTACATTTATAAAAAGCCTACTCAAGAGAAGTGGGACTTAGGAAAAAAAAGGAAAAAAAAAAGATGGAATAAGCAAGAACGGGATGTATATAAAAGTACTGGTTCCTCTGGGAGATGCTCTTTTAAAGTGCTCTCTGTATGAACAGAAATAAGTGATACTACCAAAGTCTGCAGAAACTAGAAGCGTGCTACAGTTGAGACCTAGCAAAACTCAGAGAGCAAACACAATTAGTGTGATGGTCCTTCAATTCCTACTTATACAGGAAACGCTACCATACTCACAGCTTTTGAAGACTAAACAGAAGAATAAAAGAAGAAAAAAGTACTGGGTACAGCAGGGAGGAGAAGGCAAGGAAAGGTTCTTCCATTACCCAGACATCACTGCCAAAGCAGCACCCACGGCACTGACAGCTCAACGGTTTGGGGGGTTTGATGGGCTAAGTTTGGTTATCATGACAGCCATCTCCCTAGTCATTGCTTCTGATATAGCTGGACCAATATGTAACAGCCTCTTGAAAGCTTGGCTGTACCATCCGACCTGCAGGTTTTGGGTGTATCGTCATGGTAAGCAAGCAGAATTGACATGCTCTTCAAAGAGAAGTGACCAGTCTACTCTTGAACAGAAATGCTGAACAGTAATCAAAAAAAAAAAAAAAAAAAAAAAAAAAAAAAAGAAGAGTTGGATTTAGAGTTGGAGGTATTTTCCTGACAAAAGCTGTTTCATACCTCGTGTTATGGTTTGGAGTCATTTGTGAATTAAGGACACCAACCTGGCTGATTCTGCCTAAAGTGAAATTACATATACCTGGATAAAATTAGACTTGATAAAGTTGCTATAGACAGCATGGACTAATTCTGTGCATGTGCAGAGCAGCTGCAGAGGGAGTTACTCTCTTAAGTGTTCCGTTGCCTCAGTTAACAACCATTCAATTTTCAATACAAAAAACATGTTCTGAGCTCTAAACTCTCAGTCCATAATAATTCAGATGTTGTATTTCAGCTAATAACACAATTCATATATCTGGGCATCACATTACTTGACACAGGATTATGGCCTTGACCTGCTTTTAAACATATACATCAAGTTTACATTAACTGAAACATTGTATCTACAGATGTTTGTATCAGTCAAAGTATACAGGGGAAAAAAACCCACACAAGGTAAATAAAACTGACACTGTCAAAAATGCGTTTTTATAAACTTTTCATTCCTTCACTTGAGGTATTAGAGACTTAAATGGAAATATACTTACTGCTCTTTTTCTGGAACAACCTGTAATCCAAGGCACAGTAAGGTTTCCTGAAATCTGTAGGGGGGAAGGAGGAAACAGAACAGAAAACAACAACAGCTTAGGTTGCTACGATAGCCAGTACTGAGCAGCTTTCACAAGACTTCAATATCGTGCATTCAATTCTGCTAAGAATGTCTTTAACACAGGTTAAGATTTAAAAACAAAACAAAGTCACCCTTACTGTTGTAAGACTGAAACCAAAACACCGTTTCTTTGGGTGAGGGCAAGATAGCACGATGGCAGCTTGGGTTTTTCTGTACATTTGCCATCTCAAAACTTGTATTTCAGAATGCCAGTTTTCACTTTCAGCCGGTCACAAACTGGTAAGATTAAACAGACTGGAGTCAGACAAGGACCAATGTCTGACAGAACTGCTGTCACATATTTTTAAATTACATCAGTTAAACTTGTAGGAAAAAAAGACTATCACATTAGTAACTGAGCTATTCAATATCAGACGTTAAGGATTTGCATATTAGCAGAAAAACTAGAGACATGAGGCTGGGGAAGGAAGGGGAAGGGGTATGAAGGCAAGGGTTCGCTGCCTTGATTCCCATTGCTTCTCCATCATTCCCAGAGGTCAGACTTTATTAAATAATCATCTTGGACTGTTTTCCCTGGCCATCTGAAATATGTCATAGCCTGGAATATTTTAGGCTTATTTAGGATTCCATGTTCGTCTTCTGCTGCAGACAAGCAATGCTTGAGAGACTAAACATAGCTCTTGAGAGATTAATCAATCTCAAGTCATTACACACACTATGTATGTGAGGAAGAAAAATCTACGCACTTCTGCTGACTGTATCAAACTATGCTAACAGGTTTTGTATTTGCAAAGTGCTCTACTAATGAATCTTGCAGCATGAGCATAACGAAATATAGAATACCTGGTACAGTTTGTTCCAGTGTACAAGCACATAAAATACTTTTATTCTTCAAGCTTTTAGCTGGAAGCGCTTGGAGGTTACCTAAGGTCAGACACTTTCCCATTACAGCACAAGCCGGGTTGAGAGGGGCTAGAAATGAACACCCTCTCCGCCTAAGGGCAAGTCTACATCAGCTTTTGAGTCTAAAATACTCATTTCTTAGTCACACACACACATTTTAGTAATTCTCTATAAACAAGTTAAGTCTATTACAATTCTATATCCCACACAACAGCTTCATACCACAGAATCTACTGTAAACGCATCCTCAGCATGCACCCAGATGGTTTCTCTTCACAAATTTAAAGTGGGGCTGGCTACAGAAAAAAGTGCTTTTCCGTCCAAACAAAGCGCTCGGTCTAGCAGAGCATTATTGGTTACTTGGAAGACAAATGCACCCAAGTTCTGACAGGTATTATGCCAAATACAATCAAGTTTATCTCAATACAACTACTTGAAAGACAACGTGCATAGGAGTATTCCAAATTGGCTCTATGAAAAAGGCACAAAGGTGGGGGCTTTTTTGGGAGGGGGGCATTTTTCGAGTGAGATAGGTATCCTGCATCCACAGGTGCAACTCCAGTCCTAGCCCAAGTGGGACAGCTACCACGAGTTGCAAAAATGATAACCTGACATGCTTGTCTCAGAAACAGCAACTCTGGCAGAGGCTAGAGCAAGTTCAAAGGTATGGCAACACTTGTGAATTGCCAACATGTGCCTTAATTAAAACGGTTACGCTCTATGAGGTCCCTACATAGTCTTTCCCCAATTCACCTGTAGATTTACTGTCCCAAATTCAGTGCACTGGCGCAAACCAAGAGCCCCAGCCCAGACCTGGTTGCTGCGTGTCCCAGCGTTGAGGCCATACACAGTGTTTCTGCAGCCTGCTCGTAGCTGACATCCTCTCCAGAGCCCCACAGGCTCTCCCCACTCGTGCAGCTGGAAGTATTTCATCCCAGAAATAAAGTGAGGAACTCCCGTGACAAAGGTAACTCTGCTTCTGTTACAAGAATGAGTGTCAGGAAACACTTGGTTCAAGTCTCTTCAGAGAAGAGCATGTTGCTTGCCCTAGCAGAAAGCTGTGCTGCCCAAAGCTAGCAAGAAAGTCCTCCTCTTGTCTTCAAAAGTCTCTAGGGAAGTAAATAAATCACTTTGACATGTTAAAAAAAAAAACAAACCAAAATAAAAATGGAGTCCCACTTCCTTAAATAAAGCAAACTTGCAGCTCATTCAAATAAAGCAGCAACCTTAAAGTGAATCTTTACAATAAATAAATAAATACATAATATATCCATATCCTATTCTGACGCACTGGCTGCAAGGCTTAGGATTTTTCCTTGCAGAAGACAGGGCTAAATTAGATAACTGTGCTTCAGTGTGTATAAGGAAGTAATTAAAAATACACATACTTTCAACCTTATTTTTGTCCCTTAGGGTTGGGGGGGAGGAAACCAAGACTAAGTAACAATTCAGCCTTGAGGACCAGCAAGAATAGCCTCTCTAGTTCAATATACTTACAGCCAAACTAAGAACAGTAGGTTGAACAACTTGTTTACTGAAACCGCTCAGGCATTAAAATTGATCACTTTATTAAATTTACTCTTAAGTTACACTAACATGAATTTGATTAAGTGAACCAGTAAGGAAGCTGTAACTAATTGCTAATTAGATACCCCACCAATGTACAACAGTAATTACTTCATCAAAACACAAATCACACAGTCCTGACTTTGAAGAAGCATCTGCTTGGATGTTTAACTACTCCAATAACCACATAGCTCAGGTTTAATCTATTCTTAAATTTAGGAAGATTTCCCGAAGTTTAAGGATTTTCATTCCTACACTGATGGATAAATTAGCTAAACATGGGCAATAAAATTAACATAAACTGACTACGTACGAAAGAAGTGTCATCCTGCATAAGTCTAAAAGAATTCAGACAGCACCTGTAACAAAATCTAAGTCTCTGGAAGTTTAATATCTAAATATTATTAAGATAGAAGGGGAGTGTCTACATGAAACAGCAGTCATGCTGGACTTCAAATTAAGTGGAGGACTTGGAGAGGGGGGTTGAACTAGTGCAGTGTCATCTCAGAGGTTCACAGCATGAATAATGAATACAGCAGTAAGTGAATTAATAGCAACCTGTCCAGGTTTTCCAAGGTTTAAAACCGTGGAAGGGCAAGGGATACCATGGGAAACAGGAGCTCCCTCAATCCAAGGTACATTCCCAAATCTAAAGAACAGGGTCTCCAAGAGACAGGCATGGAAGTCAAATGGGGTACAGATGAATTCCTCACTTATCAAAAAACAGGTACGTTATTATAAAGGAGGGGGGGAAAGAGAAAAAAAAAAACCCACAAAACGAAGTTACAGAGATCTTCTTGTTACGAACCACCACATGGACAGACAAAATGTCACCTACCATGAACCATTCTAGCTGTTTAAAAAACACTCTGTCCCTACTCCCTTAAAATCCCAAATCAAAGTTATTTCAAATTTCATTAAAAAATTAAAAAAAGTACTGAGAAATAAATCTCATTGATGCTTTTTCAAGAGTGAAATAAAGTACCAAGAACACACAGCTGGAGGTAGCAATAATATATTTCACTTCATTAAACCTAAGAAAAATTTCCTTAACTCTATTGCATGCGCTTTCACAGCTTTACCAGCCCTTTATTGGACAGATGTGCACATTTACAGCTTCTCTCTTCCTATGAAACTGGGACGTCAAAAGTAAGCAACATTTAATGATTTTATAACTCAAGTAAGAACAGTAATAGCACATATTGAGACTATCTGAGAGAAGGGAGAAAGGGAAAGAACAGCTCACCTAAAGCGCTCAGCTTAGAAAAGGCCATAAATAAGAATTGCAGATGTACCATCTACTACATAGAATCTACTCCAGATCATATATGCTCCTTAAACCTCAGGTTTACCAAGAAAAGCAGTAATTCTGGTGAAAAGTGGCACTTACTTGGACTCAGAAGCTTTCTTCCGAATCCTCACATGAGATAGGAGTAAGTCAGAAAAAAGAAAAAAAAAAAAAAAAAAAAAAAAAAAAAAAAAAAAAAAAAAAAAAAAAAAAAAAAAAAAAAAAAAAAGAAAAGCTTCACAAAGTATCGTTCCCTATACTAGTGAGCGATGCACAAGAAAAGATGGTATGTTGTGTACATGGTTCACTTGCGGGATAAATTAAAAAGGTAATTAACAGGCAAATGCACAAAGGTAATACACGCAGTATCACATCCTGTCAGTCTGAAGACTTTTATCTCAGGGTCTCTAGACTATGTCATGCCAGAGGGCATAAAAATCTATGAAAAAAAAAAAAAAATCAATTTGGATGTTTCCTGCAAAACTCACTCTCCTCTAGTTATAACAAAAAATTAAAAAATGTAAGCGTGTCAGTGTTGTAGCTTCTTCTGAACGTCTTTTAGTTCTTCAATTATCTGTATTTAATTTTCCCCTCTCAGTGTCACTGAAGGGACTATTATAGCACGAGGAAATAACAGGCTTGAATGTAAAACAGCAACTTGAATTAGATGCTGTCGGGAGAGGAAGAGTATTTGCTCACTTAGGGATTTAGGATCTCCAGCGAGGTAGTTAAGATGATGGGAGACACTAACAGAAAACAGGTCCAAGAGATTGGCAACTCCACAGGGGGTACAGGCAGTGCTGCCGGAAGAGCTAATCCAAGCTGACATTAATAAGGGCAAGCAACTGTACAGCACACAAACGATGGCATGATCCCATGTTCTGCCCTGTGCCACATGGGAAGGATGCCTACAGAGGAACAACCAAGGGTATTGCTGTGACATGTGCTGGCAAGCCACGTCAGGACAACATGGACTTGAGCATGCACCAGCCGTTGTAGGTATGATCCTCTTGTAACCAGAGTTTATCTATCACATCTAGGAAGCCCATGCTGATCTTTAATATACTGCTACGCACGGCAGCCATGGGCTCAGCTGTACAGGTAAGAGTGCTGCCATGCTACAGTCCTACCTGCGCTTTTGTTTAAGAAGGAATTCTCTCTACTGGAAGACATAAATGGAGCACAGCCTGCAGAAAGGTGAACCTATCGCTTACTAGCTACCAACTTGCAAAGAAAACAGCACTTATCTACAACCTTGTCTTCAAGGTTTGAAGACAGAGATAAATTGACGGATTACCTGGTAATTATTTTGGTTTTGTGACAGCCTCAGTTGACTTGAAGATGTAAAATGAGGAGAAAAGGTACTTCTTGATGGATTAGCACTGTTATATAAGGTACTGGATGTTGTATGTAATGAGGTCCGTGCAGGCAAGTGATAGTCTCTGTTATGATACAGAATACTGTCAGGCACGTCCCTGGCATTCACCATCTGTGAGCTACAGCTCACATTTCTTCCTGGCCCAGACAAGGCTGCACTTTGGTTCTCTACTCGAACAGAACTGCTGCTTTCACAGTATCTGGAATAGCTTTGTATTTGTGCTCCCATGGATGCTAGTTCTTCTTCTCTAGCATACTCGTCAACCACGTCTCCAGTTTCCATCGCGATGGACAGACAGCTGCCTTCCACCGAGCAATGCTTCTGTGTTGCACCTCCTCCCACAATTCTTTGAGGTTGATCTGTAACCGCCAGAGAAAACACTTCGCGGATTTCCAGGTTTTGGGTGCTACAAGAAGGGTCCCTGGTATTAGCCCTTTGTCCAGGGGGCACATGCGATACGAGAGCTGCATGTTCCGGTTTTTGTAACCTTTGACATCCCACGGGTTCAGCTTTACAGGGTCTGTGGCATATCATCGGCTTCTGAGGTAACACCAACTCTGCGGTCTGGACCGATGAACCGCCGTAGCTTTTTTTAGTGTGACTATATATGGAGTTCGCAGAATTCAGTACACTTGTTTGCCTAGACAAAATAATAGTCTTTTCCCCTACCAATAGGGAAGCATTTTTACAATGTGGTACTTGTCGTCCTATAGGGAGGTGCTGCTGCTGAAACTCTGTATCGCTTTTTCCTGGTAGTCGTGGAATAGAGGTTTTGTGTATTTCTGCCATTGAAGCATTTGTCTGTTTGGCGGATCCTTGCCTACCGGATGAGCTAGCAGGACTGTATATACCAGTAACTATTACATCATTATTAGAAGAGGTCCAAGAAGACTGCTGACTTTGGGATCGAGCAATATTTACCACATTTCTAACTGCTGCTTCTGGAGGTACTGAGGGAGTAGTAGGGACAGTCCCTGGGGGGGTGCCTCCAGATTCTACAGCACTCTTGCTGCTCATCTTCCTTCGTTTATTGCCAACCCACGTCTGCAAACAACAAACAACAATGACAACAAACACAAAACAAAGCATTAAATAAGCAGAAAAATTAGGCAATTCCATTTTTAAGCAGATCTGATGAAATGTTAAGTGTTCAAGCTGAGACCTAAGTTTACAAATATGTAAATCATTTACTAATTATGCAGAGTCTGAACAATACAGGGTGGAAATCCATGTCTCTCGTGCTTGGGATTCATACACTAATACACATGAGAACCCCAGTCTCAATTCCAAATCCCCAGTTTCTCAAAAATCCTGAGACTGTATCGTGCCTCCTGTCCCAAGGCTACCCATAAGATTTATTTCACTGACACCGCTGTGCCTGGTTCCCCCAAATTTAAGTTTTTAATATTTAGTGCCTTTGGATACAAAACCATCACTGAGGTATGTAGCTAAACTTTTCTAACGAAATAACTGAGCGATACGACCTTCAAAACAGCCTTGAACAGAAACTGCCAATTCTTGAATTTAGACGAGAGGAAGAGAAAGAACTCTTTCTGTTAGACAGTTACAAAATGATTTTGTGAAGCGTTCAGACCTATGGACTGATTTCTCCTCTGCCAGCAGCACAAATCAAGATCTGATGTCAAAGCCTGTTTTTGAAAGACACTGATAGACAAGATTAGGGCTACTGGGATTAGACTCCAATAGAAGCTTGCTATTATGGACATTTCCAAAAGTGACAATGACAGTATAAAGTTTCGTGTAAAAAATAGTAGAGGAAAAAATATTTGAAAAATGCAGGTACTATGGCAGCTACGCACAGGTTAAAATGTACTGCTGCTTTAAACACACAGGAAAGTCTGTCCTGCAAGTAACACATCAAGATACAGCTAAAAGAACTGAAGGGGAAACATTAACCTCAGTATTTCACGATAAGGAGAGTTAATCTGGTGGAAGGCTCTGCTCTACCACTGGAAGCATAAGCACCACCTAACTATTCCTGGCAATTTTCATGATCAGAGAGACAAGACTTGCTCAATTCTTTCACCACAGTGAAAGCACAAGTGCCAAAGAACGAAAAATAAGCTTTTGCATCTGCTTATGCTGGTTATGGAAAGGATCAGATACGCATATAGAGATAGGGTGAAACAGTTTTCTGCACCACTCTGGGTATCATCTGCTGCACACCTAAAACCAAACCAAAACAAGATCTCAACATTCAGCAACCCAAACCAGCTGATTTAATCAACAAACTCCCTCACCCTATAACAAGCAAACTGCACTGAGTACCTGTCTTGGGTTTCCATCTCATCACATGAGAAAAGGGAAGTTTTCTTCACATACCGATACCTGCTAAGGAGGTAAACTTCTCAGAAATCTAGAGATTTCTCTACAGGAAAATACACATCCCTGCCATACAGAAGTATGCTGGAGTCTCCATTCCATTCTACTCATTTTTGTTGTCAAATTTTATAAAATGCTTACTTTGAGGCATGATTTATTGCATGCAATAGAGTCTGTTACTAGCGTTAGATTTTTTCTTCTCAAAAGCAAGTTAAAATACACAAACTATAGCCACAGGTCTAAAGTTACTTTCCTTTATTGCATAAAACAAATTTAGAAGATCAAATTTATTTTTTTTTTTTTGTAATTTCAGCTCAGTCAGTAAACTTTCAAGGTAGAAATTATAATTAGAGACATTGCAAGTTTTGGGCCAGGAAAAGAGATTTCCCCCCCAACTTTTCCAACTGTATAGATACTAAAATCTGAAGTTTTTCTCGTGGTTTTCCTAAAAAGAAACGCATTCAAAGAAATGCAAATAACTTACTAGCACTGCTGTTCACTTGGGATTAAAGTATAGTTTCATGAAACAGCCAAAGTCAGATTTGCTACTGCTGAAATAGTCCCGTTCTCCTGAGCACCTCCCCAGCGTCTTGCTCCCACCATTTAACCAAAAGCACCCACCTGAAGGATCAGTGAGCACAACTCCCCCAAAAGCATAAAACTGAATTGGCAAAAAAAAGAACAAAAGTTTTGGTAAGCTTAGCAAATTTAACAGGGTTACTCTGAAACTGAATGAATGCAAAAGATGATCAGCACAAGACGAAAGACAGGAGAGAAAGAATTGCACAGCTGGGAGAAGGAAAAGAGTACAAAACCTCCCATTTTTAGCACTGTGAGACATTATCCCAGAGAAGAATTAAGTGAAATTATACTCTCAGAATGAAGGGGAAGCTCCACATTGTTACTAGCTTGATGGTTACGGTATTAATTCGGGATGTGACAGAGCAGCCATTAAGTACAAAGTCTCCTAAGAAAAGGGCCACAAATCTTTGTTTCAATCAAGCTCTCCAGCTGGTAAGTTTGGGGAGCACTTTCACTAGCACTGGAAGCATTACTGAAATTCTTTACTTTTATTTAGGATGAGAAGAAGCTCCCAGAAGAGATGACAAATCAAAAATCCAGATGCTAAGAAATTTACCTGGGATTTAAGAAACCCTGTACCTGTTCTGACACCTGCTGTCGTCCTATGGGAAGAACCCCACACCACCTCCCTGATCAGTGCTCCCAGCACTCAGTGATGCTGTGAAAATCAGACTCGGAGAACTTTTGCACTTTATCAAGTCCTGCTGTTCACCTCTCATGTAAAGACAAAAAGCAACCAGCAGAAATATGCCAATATTAATGAACAAAACCAGGCCATTCAAACCTGACATGGCTGGAATACATCTCAACTAAATTTGAGGAAGGCTAGGGTTTTTTCCCCAGGATTAACTCTACCACATTTCCTAATTTTGAGAGGGAGAATATATTTTTATGTATTGCAGTAATAAAATCTGTAGAGGTTTACATCAAATCATAAATAGGACTTTTCTGTTTTCCAACCCAGCTCAAGATTGGAAAGACTGGATTTAATTCTATGGGACAAGGCTATAGAAATCCTGATTTGGAGAAAGAATATATTCATAGAGTTATGACATTTGAATTATAACAGTTACATTTAGGGAATTCATGTTCCTATTATAGTCATATCTACAAGTGCCAGCTGCAACCCAAGTATCATTTTGATAGACATTGTGCAGAGAAGTACAAATCTCTGTCCAAGAGTTTTACAGAAGAAAAAAAAAAAAAAAAAAGAACAAAGAAAAAGGGAGGGGATTAGGAGAAGCAGAAAGGAGGGGTGTAAAGAAGAGAAAGGTAAGATCATAAAAATACGATAAATGCAGGACAAATGCTGGGTCTGTTTCCACTGCACTTGACAAGCAGGAAGAAAGCTTAAGTATTGCAAATAAGGGCTCAGTAAGGGAAGAAAACGAAAGGGAAAAGGCCATGGTATATTATTGCTCTAAGGAAAACGGAGAGGAAAAGGAAAATATGAAGATGGAGAGCAAATGAAGACGGCAAGTAGAGGAGAGACTGGCTGCCTCCTCTAGGTCCTTCAATCAGAATAAAAATAGAAAACCAGCCCCGACTGCACCATCAGCATCCAGATTCCTGTTACAACGGTTTGTCTGTTCCAGGGAGTCTGAATGTCTGGCTGACTTTCAGAACTTCCCACCACCTAGAGCTGAGAAAGTAAGTTCTAATATTTCCAGTGTATTTTGAGGGAAAGGAATCCAGGTAAGATTTGGGGAGAGGAGGGGTTGTTACTGTCAATATACCACTGGTACACCACTTAAAAAAAAAAACACCCACCTAGACTGGTCTTAGTTCTTCCTCTTCAGTGTCCAGTGTTGCAACAACTCTTGGGAGCTCCACTACCGTTGTTATTTTCTCAGCTAACGCTTCATGATTTCTATTTCTGCTCTGAGACAACAGCCATTTTGTTGTCTACTGTTTCACAAAGGGACTATTAATTCCCTTCCCAAGGAATTCATAGACTTTGGAAGAGCTCCTGTTAGCACTAGTGACATTCTTCTTTTATAAGAAAAGAATACACTCACTGTAAATAACCATGAGGGACCACAATATTTATGATTATGACATGGAACACAAGCGTGACAGAGTGTGTCAAAAGAAACGCTTCCACAATTATTCCCCCAAATACATTAGGTTATAGAAATCTGTTTAACTTAAGAATAGGTTCCTAATAACATGACCTTTCTTTCATACAATACCTTGCACAAGGTTTCCATAGGGCAATCTAATTTGCAATTTAGTAAGTAAAAGAAACCAAAACACCATAAACAAAAGACAAACAACAACCAAAAAACCCCAAACAAACAAACAGAAATCACTCCTTGTGCAATCCAGGCCCCTGCTAAATACAGCAATCATGTGAAGACATTTCTGCGAAAACAAACTATAAACAGGCTCACTGGATAAAAATGAGTATGTCACACACACATACTGAAGTCTGATTTAAGACAAGTATGAAGTTAGAGACTCCAGTCCGCTACAGATATTTTACGTAAAGAAATGAATGTGCATAACTTTAACATACAAATTTGGAAGGCCTCAGTACTTACCCTGACTACACTGAAGTCCAGTTTAGTTTCTTGTGCACACTGTAATATGAGCTGAAAGCAATTTTTACTTTGATTTGTCATTCCATTTTCATAATAACGCTGTAATATCCTTTGTTGTTCTACAGTAAATACAGAACGCAGATTCATCTAAAAATAAAAGAAGATACTCTGAAAGTTGGAATAAAAACTGTAATACTTGCAGAACGCACAGGCTCTTATTTATGCTTGTGATAACGCTAAGTGTTGACATGTTTTCTTTACAGAGTCCTTACCAACACTTTTACTTACTTTCCAAAAAAACCTGCTACAGTCAGCATTAGTGATTCCTTTGTGACAGATTCAAGGTTGAACAGGTGAACTACATGTTTGGAACAACACTGACAGCCTTTCATAAATAAATAAATATTACATTGTGTTGCTAAGTCCGAGAGCCTCTAGTTTCAAAGAAAAAGTTTCTCCCTTAAAAAAAAAAATAAAATAAAGGCATTAGGCAAAACAGAGTAACACCAGCAGCTCCAATAGTATTGGCAGGGTGGGTTTCCCCCCCCCCCCCCAAAAAAAAAAAAAAAAAAAAAAAAGACAAAATCTGAGATAAAATAAAGGTGACTGTTTGGCATGAGTAAAGTTTCCACTGTCTCCTGCTTCAGCAAATCCTACACTCCACTATGGCTGGTCATGCTACTCCTCCTGCTGTGTCAGCATTGGCACTTCCCAGCTGCAAAGTCACAAAGATCAAGGACCAGAACTGAAGACCAACTCAGGGGTGAAAAAAAGCACAGAGAAGGGCTTTAGGCAGTTCTGGTCCAGCCCACTGCGATGCTAATGCTCTAATAATATCAAAAAGGAGGGACCACCCAAATCACAGCCTGCATTTAGAAAGGTTCAAGCTATTGTGAAACTGTACCCTGAAGCTATAAATCAGGCTTTTTAAGAACACTTAAGGATTGTTTTACAGGGGTATAAGCCAATGCTGGCTACAGGACCTCAGGATGCATTTCTGCCCCTTTGCTTTGTCTGAAGTGGTGCTGAGCTTTTCAGCATGCTCAGCCAGAACGAGGAGGCCCACGCTCCTCCCAGGCCAACAGCAGCTCTTCAGGTCTTGCCTGCAGCCTGCCGAGCCAGCTCAGCTCTGGGTCCCCCCATGAGAGAGCTTCGCTCCCTGGGGACAGGGCAGACAGGGACCGGGCAGCCCATGCTGGGGCAGCCGCCCCACTGCAGCCCAGGCCACTGGGCACCCAGGGACGCAGCCAGGGAGCCACGCTCCCCGCAAGCCTGCCCCCAGGCCCACATGTGCCCAACGGTGTGGCCTCTCTGGCCAGCAGCATCGCCCCATTGCGGGCCGAGAGACCCTTCACCGCATCCCCACCAGGGCCATGCCCCGGCCGGGCTCTGCACAGGGCTATGCCAAGCCACGGCAGAGGCAGGAGGTGGCCAGGGACAAGGCAGCCGCTTCAGCAGCACTTTGATGAACACGTTAAACCAGAAACAGCTTCCTTACATGTGAACGTTCATGCCCTGGCTTGGAAAAGGCAAACAGCTGAATATTCCCAAGTATAGAACAGACTCCCTAACAGCAAACTGAAGCTTTATGCTCTTCTTATACCATTAATACAAGCAAAGAATATAATCCTCTGGTTATATGCAAGAAGAGAGTCCCAGCATCACAGAATTTCCAGAACGGGGCCTTTATTTTGTTCCAGACAGGAGGCTGCCAGCTGAGACACTGCAAGCACGGCCAGGAAGAACCTGCATCCGACTTCGTGTCTCAGAAAGCAAAAAAGTCACTGTTCACAAGTTATTTTTTATACTTTCAGTACATGCATCAAAATAATGCAGAACAAACTAAAGAATAAGAAACCATACCATCACCCTGTAGGAAAATAAAGGGGATGAGGGAACCCTTTGAGGCTACCGAGCTTTTAGTTACCGTTTTTGGAAATTTTGGATGGAATATACTTCATCTTTGCACAAGAACTGCTTCTAATTTAGAGCAAATAAAATTATTAAGGGCTCAAAAGCATGAGCAGACACCCAACTCCTTTCACACTGTTAATCAAGATGATTATATTATGCAATGATTATGTATATTAGAGCTCGACAGGCCTCTATGACGAAAAAGATTAGTATCTAGAATTTGGAGTAAAATGCTTGTGGGCCAGAGCTTTGACTTCACAGTTCACTGTCTTCTATATGTCAACAGACAACAGAAAAATCACTAACTACCAATTTGTAAAGATTACCGTTTTCTTTTCAATAACACTTAAAACAGAAGACTATTTTTCAAATCACATTTTTACCTTTGTTCCCAATTCTTGTTTACCCTCTTAATCCAGTGCATTATTAATTGCAGCACTACCAGCTGCGGTACAAGCCAGGCTTTGCCCGAGTTATGCCTCTTCCAGAACGCGTATTCAGCCGCAGAGCTGGGCAAAGGAGACTCTTGCTCTGAATACTCTGCTCTTTACGGAGACATATAGCAAGCAACAGAGGAGACCATTATTAGACCATTAGCAAATCAATAAAGTTCATAAAAATCTACTTTATGAAGTTAAGAACTGTCTTCACATCTCCCATGTGGATATGCGTGACAATGCAGCCACCAGCTGATTTCTGTTACATTTAAAGTATATGTAAGTTAATTTTGTGATTCTTTTCCCTCCTCCACAATTGGCAGGGCCCAGCTTACACTTCTGTGTCTCCTACTCTTTCAGTACCAGTGGTCCTGTTTTATTTAGTTGAGATCAGTTCCCACAAATGACCTCATCAGAAATAGTTATGAACCTTCTATCTTTCCAGATCCAGATGAAGCCTGTCATCCAATAGCTCCAGCATTTCTATACATAGGCTCATCAAGAAGACGCGTGCTCTCCAAATAGTTCATCAACTGCGATGAGGACTCCTCTAACTGCAAGATTACTTTTTAGAATCGGACCTGATGACCTGCAAAGGAAGATGTGTGTCAGGTCCTTGACACATTTTTTTTAATTATGTGGATTTCTGTATCCAAAGTCACTTCTGGGTTAAAATACTTTCATTGTTGTATTTGACATCTGTAGCTTAGGTAAGGACAGGGTGGAGCATTTTGATGAAACCTCTTGATCTTCAGATAAACCCGCATGCATTGCATGACAGGCTTCGCCTAGCTAAGCTCAAGAGAGGTTGCAGTCTGGTTTAATAAACAACTCATTTTTGCAGTTTATTTTAATCACTTGTAAACGACACCTGCCAACCAAAATACTGGTAAGATCAGTAACTCAGTAACTTCTGCTTTGAATACAGCCAAGTACAGCTCAGAGGATCTGTGCAGAGGCCATTGGAAACTGATTTAAATAAATATATTGCAGGACCCTACAAACAGCTATGGAAGCTGAGTCATAACTTGAGTTGAGAAAGGCAATTAAGAATCATAAAGTTTTTTTGTTTTTAACTGCCTATGTAATAATTTCTAACTAGGTATAAAAGATCGCGAGATTATTGCTTCTGTTTCTACAACTAATAGCAATCTCCAAGCATTCAATCTCAGTACTGTAGGACAAAACAATAACCAGCATACCGATTTCACACTGGCGTGTTGGCCGTTTGGCAATATTCCTTCTCTTGCAGGTTAAAAGCCCACTGACAGCGTGTCATCTGTAAAGTCCAGATGGAAATCAGTTTGCTATCAGCAGTTCTTAAGTGCTTATTTAGGATATTTAAACCAGTACCCTGTGTTGAATAAACCAATTACTGAATGTTTGGAAGCTCCACTAGCAAGCCACGAAGTCCACAGCCATCACGTTAATCCATGAAGTGCTGACTCTGCATATCCCATCTTCATAGGCAAAGAGTTTTGCTCACTTTCTACACCTCTCAGACCTAGCAGTTTACCTACATCGAGTACATTGAGCATTTAAACATCTGTAAGAGCGTAACGTCACTGTCTCTGAGATCTGTATTAATACAGATCAATACTAGATTCATCAAAGGATTACACCGGTTTTGGTTGGGTTTGGTTGTTTGTTTTTTGTGGGTTTGTTTTGTTTTTGTTTTTTGTTTTTTTCGAGAAGTGTTAACTATGAAAACTGATGCTAGACAGGTTATACAAAACCAGATATTAATTCTCACATTTTCTCTAATATGGGAGACACCTGACAGTCAGTGGAAATATATACGAACTAGAGATACCTTACAAAGCGCTGACGTTACTGAGCAGTAAGGTAGCTGTGTTGGTATCAGAGGAACGCGCAGGTCATACACCCTCATAGCGGACTCAGTATTAATCACAAGAATTGCAGTAAATTCAAAGGAAATAAACTTTTCTCAATTTGTGTGCCTACAAAGCACTCCAGTTTCTTCAGGATTTCTCTCACCTTTGTCTTGACCTCAGACTCGAAGTTAGAAATCCACATGGATTTTTATAATAATTTCATTTTAATCTTGATGTGCCAAGCTTAGAAAACATGCATTTGATCTTTTGGAAAGCAGGGTGTCCAGCTGGTTGGCAACACATTGGCACTGAAAAGAGAATTTGTTACAGAAAAGAACTCCGTGAAATTTATTAAATTCAGGCAAAGTAATATGCAAACTTAAATTCTGTGAAGTCTTTTTTTCACTTCAGTAGAAGACAGGGGTGGCAAAGCAGTATTTTTAAGGCTTCAACACCTGCCTGTTCTGCTAATAAAACACAGTAGTTTGGCCAAGTATGTTGCTGTTTATGTGGCAGTGCAGCGAATAGTTTATGGCAAATGAAGAAGCAGGTTTGCCGTAAGTACTTCCTTGCTATGTGTCCTAGGCCAGCTAACATCAATCAGCTTCCCGCTTCGGTGGTCTCCCACTCCTCAACCTTCTGTAAAGCCATCAAGATGAAGACGTTCTCCTTCATTCCCTTTCTAAACTGAACACTAATTAAAGAAATTTATCATTGTAGCAGAAGAATCCTGTAGCAGAAGAATCCCTTCACTGTATGCTGTTCAGGAGACATCAACATAGTCCAAGTGCTAAGTCAGGTGCTGGGGACATGTGAGAGATCTAAGGCTGGTAAGTGATAAGAATGAAGACGGGAACTCCACGCCCTTCAGCTTCTCCAAGACTGCTGAGTACAAGCCTCACGAAGGACGATCCTACTAACACACTGCAACCTGTCACATTGGCTCCCCGTCAGATGAGATTAAGGTTATTCTTATGACTGGACTTCTTTATCTGCTTGAGCTTTTTCCACAGTACCCACTTTCTTCCCCTTTCTGTGGCAAGAGCGAGCACAAGTGCAGAGGGGAGAACATGGAAGAACTAAAGCAGAGTTTGCTTCTGAAGCAGTAGTGCATTTGCTTCATGAAACGCCTACTTAATGCAACAATTATCCCACACGGTTTGCTGCAAATGCCTAGTCCTTCCACTCTAGTTGCTTTATTCAACATCCAAAATTAAGACTCTCCACGGAGATCTGGTGAAGCCCAGAGATGTATTTTTAGAAACTAATGAAAACAACTTGGTGCCAAGGAGTACCACAAAAGAAAGAGCAACAATAAGAAAGAGGGAATAATCCTGTATCAATGATTCCCTGGTTAAAAAAAAAAAAAAAAAAAAAAAAGGAATATTCAAGAGTTACTTAGCTGTGCTGCAATGATTACTTGAAAGACCTGGAGGCAAAAAAAAGAGGAAAAAAAAAAAGAAGCAGCATGAGAAGGAAAAAAAAAAATCTGTGGTCTAAAGTCTGCCTACAGTGTACAGCATTACAGTATGAGAGTCAAAAAGTCTCTAAGCATTAAAATTGCTGAACCAAGTAAACTTACTTACAAGGTAGGTCTTTATAGAGTACTACATTAATACTAATTAATTTCAAAAATAGGAAATAAAAACTTAACGATACTCTTCTCATTTCAAACAGTAACAGAAACCAGTCTTGGATGTGAAATTATTAATAAAAAAAATAAAGTTCACTCAGAGTACAAGCCACCACAAAGTACCCAGGTGTAAAAATCGTTATGGTATAAAACATTATAAAACCATCAGGGATTAACACATAGTGATAAAAGGGAACAAGCAGTTTCTGAGAGTTGTTTGGGTTTTTTTTTAACCTCAGTACTAAGCAAGCATTTGGTTGGAAAAAAGTCATCTTATAAAAGCCTGTAAGCCTGTTACTGTTTTAGTCTGTCCATCCATAACAGGTATAATAAGAAAATCAGCACACTCCTCAATTTATTTCTTTTTTTCTTTCCCTCCACAGTTCTCCACTGGTACAAAATAACAAGACTTGGCGCCAATATAAATCTGAGACAAAACTGCAACTATAATAGGGAAGCTACTATATACATAACTAAAACAAGATTGCAGCAGTGACACTATGACTACGGCTTTAGAAACCTGAACTGTAGCAGCAATCACCTAATTCATCGCTTGCCATCTCTGTGAAAAGCTCACAGTTTTTTGCACAGCCCAAATGGAAAGAAACCAACCAACCCACCCACCCCCCGACTTACACACCATGTGTGGAGATACTGGATGGACATCAAGTGACAATGTTCAATAATCCAAATTTGTAGGTTATTCCCTCCTTCCTACACAGGCCCAAACAGTTCCAACCACATAACTGTAAGTGCAGTAGATTATGCTTATGGCTGGGCAATATATAGACCAGATCACAAAACTACTTCTAAATATCGATGACTCGCAGCACAACTGCTTCCCTCTCCACCAAGCACAGCGTTTGTAATATTGTATTACAGTGCTACCTATAAAATTCAGCCCTTGATTAGGAACAAATTAGGCAGTTCTCAGCAACTTAATAACCTAATAACCTATGACCACAAGTCTGCAGGTTTATGCATCCCATCCCACTTCATCCATGCAAATGAAACTTCCGACTTCAACTGGATTAGCCACGTGTTTTACGTTAAGCACGTGCACAAGCGTTTGCAAGAGCTACGTCACAAAAAAAGGAAAGGCACGCTAAAACGCAGTTTTACTCTGAAGGCATGAGCTGTTTCAAAATTCTGGTTGGGAGGATACAGAACTGCTTTTGGTTAGTTACATATGATCTTACCTATAATACCAGAGGCTCTAGGCTAACAGAACGCAGGGGGGCAGGGTTGGGGATTGCTTGTTATTCCCTGGAGGGGAACAAGCCTGTGTGCAACACAAGCACTTCCAGAGGGGAGACCTCCCCGGCACCATCACCTCTCCAGAATGCCACAGACTGCACGACCAGTGCGCTTCTTCCTCCTCACTCCCTTCAAACACTTCAGGGCTAAAATTTGGCAGCAAAAGGGCACCCTGTTCAACAGCCACCAGGACTGCCTACACCTGGCACCAACACAGGGCCAATATAGCCTTGGAGAGGCACAAGTCCCAAAGGGAAACGAGGCTGGAGTCGTTCCATGACAATCCCCTACTGCTGGCCACCTCACAGAATCATAGAATCGCTTTGGTTGCAAAAGACCTTTAAGATCATCGAGTCCAACCTTTAACCTAACCCTGCCATCCCACCACTAAACCCTGTCCCTCAGCACCTCATCTATCCTTCTTTTAAAT